CCCCCCCCCCCCCCCCCCCAAAAAAAAAAAAAATTACGTGAATTTTTACTTACTCAAAAAAAAACACTATATAAAAAATCATCTAACTGAAAACAATTCATATAATACTAGATCACAAATTCAAAAAACCAAAAATGAATATTTTTCCATATAATACAAGTTGGACGAGTTTGTTGTACTAAAATTGAATTATTCGTGTTTTACATTAATATTAATGATACCAGAGAAATTGGACAGGTCAGGTTAGCTGTTATGGTCATCTCCTCGAGACCTGAAGACAGCCCAAAACAAAAACACACCTTCAAGTCCACAACACCAATTAAGACTAACGTCCAACCTAGAAACTATTTGAAGGGATAGAAGATGAACTTCGCCAGAAAACCCTACCTTAGGAAAAAGGTCACTACTTCTAAAAACTTACGTCATACCTTGGGCAAAAAGCCTCTAGTTGTTCATTGACAATTTTGTTATATATAGCAAAGAAAGAGCGAAACAGGGAGTAAGCCAATACACTGCCCCTAAGAAAATCCTATTGTGTATCTTCTTCTTCCTCAAATAATACATGCCCCAAAAGCAAGAGTCTTCCTTAACCAGTGGCCTACTCCTGCTCTTCCGTAGGACGATCCACTTTAATCTTATATTTCTTTTGTTCAATTTTATCACTCATCACACTTAATTAGCATCTAATCCATCATAGGGCTTCTCAATTTTTACCCCATTAATTTACCATCGTCTATGCCAACGATCTTCATCGTTTTAAACCAAAACTCCCTTATTGTTTGATGGTCCGAACCATAAGCATGAACCACAACCCATGGCTTCTTTAGCACAAGCCCATCCTACTAATCAACCACCATTAGGACACCAGGGGAACTCTCCAACAAGTCATGATACAACTACTATGGCAGAACCAATAGATAATATAGCTCTTGATAGCCAAACAACAGCCTCTTCATAGGGTTATCAAAGAAGAAAATAGGAGTTGATCAAACAATAACACCCACAACCAATGAAATTGAAATAACTAGAAGGAGGAGAGCGAGAGCTGCATTGGCAAAGGCAAGAGAAATAATCCTCAATCTCTTCTACCCTCCTCTTATTTGGACCATTTGGAAAGGGAAGACCAAGGAAGTCTAGAAAGAGTTGAGTAGCATGAAGGATTTTGTCAAGGACAAGACCCCCATCTGAATGGAGGCCCTAGTGTAGCAAACTGAATCTCTCTTTATCGAGGAGATCCAAAACTTCCCCCTCCTATTAAAATTCAAGATGCTTGTTATGAAAGCGTTTTGATGGCACCAAGGATTTATTCAATCACCTAAACATTTACAAGAACTTGATGGAACTACATGGCTACCAAGATCGGCCAAGTGTCGAGCCTTCACAATTACCCTAAAAGGGTAAGCTCTAACCTAATATAATAAGCTATCACTAGGAATGATAAAGCACATTCAAAGAACTCTCCGTGCAATTTGTCTCGCATTGCAACAAAGCGAGAAGTAAGGGTGGTAATCGAGTCGAGCTTTGTTAGTGTGAACCAAAGTCAATCAGAGTCATTTTTCTAAACAAGTTTAAAAAATTATTTAAGCTCAACTTGTTTAAAACTCGAACCGAATTTTATCTAAATTGAACTCAAGTAGCTCATCTCGATTAACACCCTTAGAGAAAATCCATTCGAAACCAACTTCATACCTCCTCAATATCAATTAAAAGCCTAACAAAAAGTTGAGAATGTCTATTTAATGCTTCAATCTAGAAACCTTGCAAATTGATAGTCTCGACAAGATAGTAGTTCTGACAGCCTTTATCACCGAACTACAACCTTCAAAATTTATGTTTTCAATATCCAAGCACCCCCAGACCAGTATGACAGGCGTGCTTACCAAGACTGAAAAATATATGAATGACAAGGAGGTCCTCAAGCACAATACAACTCTTCAACTGTAATCGATCATCAGGGGACAAGAAGAGAAAATAAACCATCCCTAGAAAAGGGAGAACCCCTTTACCTAAAAAAAAAGGATATGTTTGGTATAGGCTTAGACCCCAGAAACAAATCTTCCTACCAAGGTTTGTCCCTAAGTTCTATACACCTCTTAATACCTTGGTGGTGCAAGTGTTGCACCAAGTCCAGTGTGAAAACTTTCGTAAATGACAGACAAAGATTAGGTCAGATTATCAGAAGAGAAACATGAACAAGTATTACAACTTTCATCGAGACCATGGACACAAAACTAATGAGTGCATTCAACCGAAGAAGGAAATTGAATTCCTCATTGAAAGGGGCCATCTTAGGAAGTTTGTAGCCCAAGATGCGGATCACTAAGCTGAGAACCTTGAATAGCCGCCCAAGGCTAGACAACAGCATGAACAGTTGATGGGAGAGATCATGGTCATTTTAGGAGGTTGTGCTGGGGGAGGAGAATCCAATTAAGCACGCAAAGCCCATGTAAGAAAAATATGAGTAGAGGACTACAAGGAAGTTTTCACTATCCAAAAGCTCCTCGACTCGACACTAAGATTACCTTTTTTGATTTCAACTTGGAAGCATGCCAATATCCAAATTTATCTTCACAAGAACTTATGACCAACTCATGACTAGGCAAGAAAAATGGCTGACGACCAAGTCTCCACTTGTCGGCTTTTCTGGTGAGAAAGTTTATCCCCTCGGATTGATACAATTGGTGTTGACCATTGGTGATCATCTTGGCAAAATACAACTAGGTCAAGTTTCTAGTTGTTGAAGATCCCTCTACCAACATTGTTATCTTGGGACAACCTTCCCTCAATGCACTCAAGGTCATCCCCTTTGCCAACAATATAGGATTTCAAAACCTACCAGATATGCATAAATAGCTTGAGGATGAAGATCAACCATTGGGGTGTCTGCGTGTGTTTATGTGTATGTAACGCGCACATGTACTCATGAAAAAATATTTTATATGCTAATCGAGATGTGTTATCTTATATTAGTTTCATATCACTTTGGATTTGAGCATTTTAATTTGTATACATCACATCCAAATTGACACATATAACGTGCAAATCCAAATTAAATTTATGCTACTCCCCCAATCTTCACATTATACCACGTCCAACTAGTCCCTTAGATTTGGCACATAAGAGATTGAGACACAACTCTAGGGCTATGGGAAAGATGTAAATCAATTGTCCTAGATAGAGAACTACATAGAGTCTCTGTAAGTCTAAATATTCTTTGCTTTCGTTCCCCCCATAAGATCAATATCACAACCACACTCAAGACTAGAAGTTTCATATCTAAGTCATACTCTACATGATAGTTCACAATATAGAAAAATTATAGTTTTATCTAAATAATTCTCCCTCTCCCTCTCCCCCTTCTCAATCTCTCGCTCTCTCTCATCTCTCTTGCTTTCTCCCTTAGCTAAATAATTGTAAAGCCAAT